ACACACACACACACACACACACACACACACACACACACACACACACAGGAAGTGTTGGCTTGTGCACGAGGGGGGGTTTAATCCTTGAGACAAACATGCTAACTCCTCCTCTGCTTTGTAAGTAATGCTGGAAGCTAAAATCTACATATTCCTAAACCTTTTTCTGGTGCGTGCGTCCCGCTGAACGTCTGTTTTCTTGTCTCCTCTCTCAGGCGTAAATAACAATGACTCCCGTCCTGGCTGTTTGAACATGCTGCTCGGGTAGCGAAGCCGAGCCGAGAGGAGCGTCGACCCGCTTTACACTCCGGACACACAAACACACGGAGTCGGCCCCAATTCAAGCACAACCATGCTGATCAAGGAGTATCGCATCCCCATGCCCATGAGCGTGGAGGAGTACCGCATCGCTCAGCTCTACATGATCCAGGTGAGTGGGGTTTCAACCGCATCAGTTTGCTAATGAGGTACAGGGAGAGTGGAAGTGTTTTCTTTGGTTTGTGCGTGAACGTTGGGGAGGAAAGGGCGGAGGTGAGGAGTTTAAAGTGTCGTCGTGTCGGACTGTAGCAGTGAAGAACATGGTCAACGGGTCAAAGGGACCAGTGATGCTCTGCACACCAGATGGTGCCACCATATGTCTGTGGATTGTGTTTCATTTCATAATGTTGTGCAAATCCACACACGCCCATTTATATACACACATACATATCCCAAAAAACACACGCTGAAAAAAAGACGAGGAAGACACAAAAACACGTTTTATTCAAATTAGCTTTTTAACCATAAATCGAAGACAAGAAAGCATTTAAGTATGTGTGATTAAGTAAGTATGAGTCACCTCAGAGTGATTCAATCATTATGATTATTCAGTTTGTTGTTAGTGGAAATAAACCCACAATAATTAGTTGTTTGGCTTCATGTTCTTTGTTTTACGGAGCATGTGCAGTGATTAATAACATGTACAGCGACATACAGCGAGTCAAAGAACCAGAACAGATATTTTCCCTGTTTTTATCATTATGTTCATAAAATAACAGAAAGAACATGAAAGAAAACGCTACTTACGGCGCAACAAAATTCTATTTCAAATTCAATTAAATTTTCTCGCAGATGTATGACTTGATAATCTCAGAGAATATTAGATTGTTTCCCTGTAAATTCAGTGTTTTTCTCAGAATATTTCCTTCCTTCTCCGGCACTATAAAACATAATGCTTTTACCTACAACAGCCCTGATACGCTGTGGTTTATAATCCTCTCCTTTGACAAAGTCCAGTGAGCAGGAAAGAAATGTCAAGAAGAGCAACAGAGGAGACAAACGGACGCGCAACAGATGTCGTGTGTTCAGAATAGATCGACATGAGACAATAACAGAACAAAGAATCAGGACGACACAATTACACGTAAATATATAAGAATATAAAAACAAACCTACAGGAACCAAAGTATGCAGAAATTATTACACACACACACACACACACACACTACTGCCCCCCCCCCCCCGCCTCCTCCTCCTCCACCCGCTCAGCGTCACAGCTGAGTGCCGGTTACCATGGTAACTGGTGACATCAGCTGCAGCATGGCATCATTTGTTTGTGATATGGGCGAGAGAGAGAGAGAGAGGGGGGAGAGCGAGAGAGAGGGAGCGCGAGAGAGAGAGAGAGAGAGAGAGAGAGAGAGAGAGAGAGAGAGAGAGAGGGGGGGAG